GTGTATAGTCCCTTAAAATCACGTGTACAGTCCCTTAAAATCACGTGTATAGTCCCTTAAAATCACGTGTACAGTCCCTTAAAATCACGTGTACAGTCCCTTAAAATCACGTGTACAGTCCCTTAAAATCACGTGTATAGTCCCTTAAAATCACGTGTATTTAAAACGGCAAAATGTTTCAGACCTCATAGATTGGAGGTTGGACGAGAGACTAGACAATTGGTGACTAAACGAGTTCACTTAAAGGGAGAGGTAACAAATTACATATTCTTAAAGGGAATGTTAAAAAGTTTGAATTTTTTTTCCAGAACTAAGAATTTGATCAAGAATTAGTTCAAGAATTAGTTCAAGAATTTGTTCAAGAATTTGAAAGAATTTGTTCAAGAATTAGTTCAAGAATTTCAAGGTTTAGTTTAAGATTTTGAAAGAATTTGTTCAAAAATTTGTTCATGAATTTGTTCAAGAATTTGAAGGAATTTGTTTAAAAATTTGTTAAAGAATTTGTTCAAGAATTTGAAAGAATTTGTTTAAAAATTTGTTAAAGAATTTGTTCAAGAATTAGTTAAAGAATTTGAAAGAATTTGATCAAGAATTTCAAGAATTAGTTCAAGAATTTGTTCAAGAATTTGTTCAAGAATTTGTTCAAGAATTTGTTCATGAATTTGTTCAAGAATTAAATAAAGAATTTTAAAGAATTTTTTTAAGAAGTTGTTTAAGAATTTCAAGAATTAGTTTAAGATTTGAAAAAATTTGTTCATGAATTTGTTCAAGAATTAGTTAAAGAATTTGAAAGAATTTGTTTAAAAATTTGTTAAAGAATTTGTTCAAGAATTTGAAAGAATTTGTTTAAAAATTTCAAGAATTAGTTTAAGAATTTGGAAGAATTTGTTCAAAATTTTGTTCATGAATTTGTTCAAGAATTAGGTAAAGAATTTTAAAGAATTTTTTTAAGAAATTGTTCAAGAATTTGTTCAAGAATTTGTTCAAGAATTTGTTCAAGAATTTGAAAGAATTCTTTCAAGAATTTAAACCCGTTTTCTTAAGCTGAGATAAAGTAACCAAACATTTTAAAAGAGCGGTTTTTTTTCTGATTCATAACCGTATCCTTTGAACAAGAAGTATGGAATATGAAGGAGATAGAAACGACGCGGCCCGCCCTACCATATAATTATACATGCTTTACATACGGGGGCACTACATTTGAAAAGGAGTTTTAAAGGTTTTTTTAATTTTTTAAATGTGGTTTTTACTACACTATATTATATAAAATCAATTTTTATATAATATTTAAATACACTTGTATTTCTTACACTAATGGAGTACCGCCTGCTAAGCATGTATAATCATTGGGCGGGCCGCGTCGTTTCTATCTCCTTTATATTCCATACTCCTTGTTTCTGTCTGAGAAAAAATGGGGAATATATTGTCGTTTTTCTCTGTTGCAGCAAAATCCTCAAGCAAGTCTCTTTGCAACAAAGCTTCTTGGTGATAAAAAAATATTTTCTTTATAATAAAGTTTTTAATTTTTTTACCTTTTACAGGACAAGGATTTAGAGCATTCACTGGCAGTCAAATTTACTTGTAAAGAAGGTAGACCATTCATTTATACATTCATTTATTTATTCATTTGTTCATTCATTCATCTATTCATTTATTAATTTGTTCTTTTATCAATGTATGTATTGATTTCTTTAGAAACTAGCCTTAGAGGGCGCTTCGCGCCCATTTTCTAAATTAATTGTGAACATGTTCTCTTTGTGTACATCGTAAAACAAAACTAAAATAATTCGCGGATTTTCACAAAAAATTTCGTAGATTTTCAAAATTTTAAAAAATTTAATGACTATCGAATTTTGATTGAGACAAATATTTAAAATTTCAATCATTCATAAACCTTCCCTGGGGTCCCTAAATGTCCCACAAAAAATTTTGGGCCCGTTCGGTTCAGCCGTTTTGACGTTAATTGGATACAAACAGACAGACAGACAGACAGACAAACAAACAAACAAACAAACAAACAAACAGACAAGCCAAATTTATATATAGATTCATTTTTAATTTTTTATTTCATTTATATTTCATTCACATCAAGTTTTTTTAAAATATATATTTATTTTAAAACGTTTGATTCATTCATATAATTAATGATTTTTTAAGGCCTACACTAATTTTTAAATTTTTTATTTTCAGATTTTGTTTTTGAAAAATTCATTTATTGTCTCGTATATTGATTTAATTCACTGGATTATTTATTTATTCATCTAAAGATAATATTTAATCGTCGTCATATTCATCAATAAAATTAATCAAATCAATCAATCAATAAAATTAAGACTATTTGATTTCTATTTTAATTTTGATTTTTACTAATCTTGTCTAATAGCAAAAACACAGAATTAAACATGTAAACAAAGAGAAGTATGCAATTGACAGTTTTTCTTTGTTAACTTGTTAACTTGTAAACTTGTAATTTTAATAATTCTTATTAGGGATCAAGGCAGTCTTAATAAAATGTCGTTTTCATTGTATTTATATAAACGCCGGCAACTGTTTGTTTAGGATTTAAAGAGCCATTTCGAGAATCTGATTTAGACAAATATTTCAAGAAGTTTGGCAGAATTCGTTCCTTAATCATGCTAAAGGGGTCAAGAAACGTAAGTCTGGCATTTTTTATTCATTAATTTACTAATCTTTAATTTTGTTTAGATATTTATTTTATTTACTTATTTATTTTCTTATTTATATATGGCTTGGGAACTCTTTTCCCTGAAAAAACTTTCTCTTATTAAGTCTATCCAGTATCCAGTATCCACTCTAATTCGAAATTTTAAACTTTGATAAAACACATTTAATCTTCCTGATCGGAACAATCTCAAGAACTGACGAGGGTCAACCCAGACCGAAATATTTTTTTTCATCCTTCGCCATCACCGAATTTTAAACTAAGCAAAAACACATTCCCGTGATTCTACCGTGGTCCCCAATCAAAATTATTTTATTTTTGTTTTAACATTTTGTTCGTGATTGGATTTTCGTTGATTCGTTGATTTGTTGATTTGTTGATTCGTTGATTCGTTGATTTATTGTTTCGTTGTTTCGTTGATTCTTTGATTCGTTGATTCGATGACTTGATATTATTTTTGTCCTGGTTTGAGTTATTCTTATTTTGCTTTAGAAATCTGGGTTGGTTTTGTTCGAAGATGAAGACTCAGCTCAGAAGGTATGTCGACTATGACCAGAAAATATTTTAATAGTGGAATTTATTGTCAAAGTAAAATACTGTAACCAGTATGAGCTCAATAGCTGGGAATAGAGATAGTTCCATTGATGTAACAGCCCTCATACGAACCAAGAGATAAGCTCGGTTTGCAAGTAGTCCCTAGGGGTGTCTGCTGAATGTTTAAACATAGTCCTCTTTTTCAGATTTCATTTCAAATTAGTTCAAATTAGGTGTCTCTACTTGAAAGTTATTTATTGTCCACTAGGTGTCTCTGCTGAATTGTTAAATATTGTCCACTAGGTGTCTCTGTTAAATGGGTAAATATTGTCCACTAGGTGTCTCTGTTAAATGGGTAAATATTGTCCATTAGGTGTCTCTGTTAAATGGGTAAATATTGTCCGCTAGGTGTCTCTGTTAAATGGGTAAATATTGTCCATTAGGTGTCTCTGTTAAATGGGTAAATATTGTCCGCTAGGTGTCTCTGTTAAATGGGTAAATATTGTCCGCTAGGTGTCTCTGTTAAATGGTTAAATATTGTCCACTAGGTGTCTCTGTTAATTGGGTAAATATTGTCCATTAGGGGTCTCTGTTAAATGGGTAAATATTGTCCGCTAGGTGTCTCTGTTAAATGGGTAAATATTGTCCACTAGGTGTCTCTGTTAAATGGGTAAATATTGTCCACTAGTTGTCTCTGTTAAATGGGTAAATATTGTCCGCTAGGTGTCTCTGCCGAATTGTTTAATATTATCCACTAGATGTCTGCTGAATAGTTTAAAATATGGCCAGTTAGGTGTCTCTACTGAATAGTTTAATATTGTCTGCTAGGTGTCTCTGCTAAATAGTTAAATATTGTCCGCTAGGTGTTTCCGCTGAATTGTTTAATATTTTCCACTAGGGTTTGCTCAATAGTTTAATATTGTCCACTACGTATCTCTTCTTAATAGTTGAATATTGTCCACTAGGTGTCTCTCCTGAATAGTTTGATATTTAATCGTTAGTGTCTCTGGTGAATAGTTTAATATTTAATCGTTAGGTTTCTCTGCTAAATAATTTAATGTTTGTCCACTAGGTGTCGCTGCTGTACCTGCACAAGATCTTGGATAAGGATGTTTATGTTGTGAAAGCTCTAGAAGGGGAAAAATACAGGTAGAATATAAAAGTCAACTATCTTGACTTTAATCATTTAATTTTGACTTCTCTATATCTATATATTGTCTTTATGTATGTTTGGGTGTTTGGGTGTTTGGGTGTCTGTTTTGTATCTAATTAGCGTCAAAATGGCTAAAGCGATGAGGCCAAAATCTTGACCCTATTGAAAGTTTATGAATGATCAAAATTTTAAAAATTAGCCTCCAATTCTTAAGATTTTAGGATATTTCCAAAATATTTTTTTGAATTGAAATCAATTTTATATTTTGACTTCTGCTTTGTTTCAAAGCATATTTGATCTTGAAATAGCCATTGAAATAAGTACACAAACGGTTCATAAAATTACCTATAACATTATTATTTTGGCACAACGTGTTAAAATATCTGAATTAAATCTGAAAAGGCTGGAACCTTCTCGATAAAGAGAAAATTTCTGTCCAAAAACTTTATAATACTGCGAACCAAAATAACAGTTTTATAATTAGTTATTACTTCTTAATTATACTCTCTTGAGTGCATGTATATTTTAAATGAGGGGAAATAAAATGTTGATGCTAATTGTTGATAAAAAAATTGACATCAAAAGCATTTTTATTTGCCGTATTACCCAAAAGTTCTGCTGTAGCAACAACTTATCTAATACCTGGGGGAAAAAAAACTGTTCTGAAGGGGGGTGGGGGGGAAATGAATAAAATATGTATCCCTGCTTGAGTGTAGACCATTCATATTACTTTTGATATTTAGAGAAAGAAAGAGAAAGGAAATGGAAGAAGAATATGAAAAGGAAATTATGGAAAAAGAAGCGAGGAAAAGGTAAAATTCTTCATTATTTGATCTAATACTGACAACTGTTTACAATGATAATAATGAAATTATTCTCCAGGCAGATGATCTTCGAGAATATCAAAAATATTCAGAAGAAGTTGAGAGAAGAGATTCAGACGAGTCTTATAAGGTAAAAGACTCATTTATTTATTCATTTTTTTATTTGTTTATTCATTTATTTGTTTATTCATTTATTCATTTATTCATTTATTCATTTATTCGTTAATTCGTTTATTCGTTTATTTGTTTATTCGTTTATTCATTTATTCGTTTATTTATTGATTCATTGATTCATTGATTCACGGATTCACGGATTCACGGATTCACGGATTCACGGATTCATGGATTCATGGATTCACGACATGACACGACAGCATTTACATTTTTTTCTAAATAGGAAATTTCCCAAAAACCTAGGCATTTGGGAAATTTCCCAGATACCCAGGCATTTGGGAAATTTCCCAGATACCCAGGCATTTGGGAAATTTCCCAGATACCCAGGCATTTGGGAAATTTCCCCCAGATACCCAGGCATTTGGGAAATTTCCCAGATACCCAGGCATTTGGGAAATTCCCCAAATTCCTATAGGTATTTGAGGGTGGTATATTTTTAAGATTTTGGAAATTTCTCAAATGCCTGGGTACTTGAGAAATTTCACAGATACCCAGGCATTTGGGAAATTTCCCAGATACCCAGGTATTTGGGAAATTCCTATTTTTGACATTTTTGATAATTGCTGTCACTCCCTCATTCACGATCTGAGTCGTATATTGCAACTTTCTGAATTTGTATGGAAGCTACGTTCTTCAGTATAAGTTGTTTTTAACAATTTTCTACTTATAGAGCAACATATAGAAGTAAGATTAGTAGCGATCAAAAGCGATTATTTTCCCGCGTAAGCCTATACCCCCTTTCATTTTTCACGAACACTCCTTTTAAAGAAAGATCTGGGCCCGGATCCATTTTTATCCAGTGCGGATCCTCGAAATTAAATGGATCCTAAGCACTGCTTAATGTTTTTGTTAATATGAATAGACCTGGGCCAAAAGAGTTTACTGTGAAGCATGAAGCATTTATAGAACTTGAAGGTTAGTGTTGATATTTTCTAAATGTTAATGGGACTGTTTCTTAATCTTTGTTTTGTTATTTCGGTGTTGTGTTTTGGGCGATTTGTAACATTGGGCGTTTTGTTTTTGGGGGATGTGTAATTTTGGGTGTTTGTTATTGAACTTTTTGTTAATGGACATTTTGTTTTTGGGCCTTATTGTTGCTTTAGACATTTTGTATCTACTAACTTAATATTCTCATGAACTCGTCCTAAACTACTAAACTTTTTATTCTCCTGAACCCGTCATAAACTGCTGAACTCAATATTTTCATGAACCTGTTCTAAACTACTAAACCTAATATTCTCATGAACCCGTTCTAAAATACTAAACCTAATATTCTCAAGAGCCCGTCATAAACTGCTAAACTCAATATTCTCATGAACCCGTCCTAAACTTCTAAACCTAATATTCTCCTGAACCCGTCCTAAACTACTAAACTTAATATTCTCCTGAACATGTCCTAAACTACTAAACCTAATATTCTCCATGAACCCGTCCTAAACTGCTAAACCTAATTTTCTCATGAACCCGTCCTAAACTACTAAACTTAATATTCTCCTGAACCCGTCCTTAACTACTAAACTTAATATTCTCATGAACCCGTCCTAAACTGCTAAACTTAATATTCTCATGAACCTGTCCTTAACCAATAGTCCTATTTAGAAAACGATTATTGTTCCAGGTGTACCAGCGGATATGACGGAGGATAGATTGAAAAAGTATTTTACAAGATTTGGTAAAATCAAAGATTTTGAGCTCAGTAAACGCTACAAGGGAACAGGGTAAGTTTAGGATACTATAGGGTCTTATACTGTTAGTATTTTAGGGGTTTAATAGCCAAGTATTTTAGGGGTTTAATAGCTTAGTATTTTAGGGGTTTTAGTATTTTAAGGGTTTAAAGAGATAATACAGATATTTTAGTGATTTTGAGATATAATCCATCTGGGGTTTAAAGAGATAATCCAGTTATTTTAGTGATCTTGAGATATAATCCATCTGGGGTTTAAAGAGATAATCCAGATATTCTAGAGATTTCAAGAGATAATCCAGATGATTGAAAAGGGATTAATAATATATAAATAAAGGGATAAATATATTTTTTAATTCAATGTTTTTTTAAATATTTAATGGGTTTAAGGGATTGTTTATATATTTTGAGCTTGAAGGGATTGCTTTATTGTGGATGGAATTGTTTTTATTCAATTTTTTTAAAAGAAAATTCTAAAGACATGCGGAATTTGCTTATTTCAAAATTGTTTGATCCAATCTTTTTGTTCAGATTTTTACAGTACAGCGAACAGTATATGATGGACTACTGTTTAAAGAAACCGGTTCATACAGTTGATGGGCATGATATATCATTATTTGAGGTAAAACAAGCAGGGTTGTATATTTCTTGGAAAATTACCTCATTAAGAAAATGAGTTTTTCCTAGAACATATTGGGTGAAAAGTATGAAAAAAAACATGAAAAAACTTGCCTGCTTATGTCCTTTTTCCCCCAGAAACAGAAATTAATTTTCAATCATAAAGCATTGAAAAATATTGTACTTTTGTAGAAACTTAGTGAAGTCCTTTAATGGAAATGCGGGAAGAAATATTACATAAATCTGCAAAACTTTTAAAATAAATTTTTGGCAGAGTGGGATTCACGTTGTGTTCACTGCCCCGGAAAATTCCAAAACAGAGAAAGGGGGATTGAATTTTGTAGATCCAGAAAAATAATATCTGTGGGATGCCTTCGTAGAGACTGGTAGCTGGTGGGGTCTTAAATGTGGCCGCAGCGCTCGGCCCCCTGTCCTAGCCGCAGCGCTCAGTCCAGAAAGTGTCAAAATTCAATCCCCCTCTCTCTGTTTTGTAATTTTCCGGGCATTGAACACAACATGAATCCCACTCTCCCTAAATTTTTAACCCTTTAAAGGGACTGGTCTACGTAATTTTTAGTGACTCTACATAAAAGAGTTGAATTTTTAATTCAGCAAATGAATCAAAGAGTATTTTGTTGTTTTTTCCTGAAAATTGATCATATTTAATCCTCTAGAAGAATATAGATTTATTCAGCAGAGAAAAAGAAAGAAATTGACAAAATTCTTCTTGTCTTATAAAGAAGAAAAAGCGTCAAATCTTCCTGGCTGTTCCTTAAATAAAGATATAAAGTTACAATTGCAATCGCTTAAGCAACTCTTAAATTTAAATTTCACTTGAAATTACGCTGCTCAACTTTATTTTTTTGTAATTTCTATTTTGCGCATATTCTTTTTATTAATGAATAAATAATTTTCTAAGGGTATTCCATTCCAACCAAGACCGGAGAGACCTGGCTTTGCTCTTAATGATGTTAGACCCAAGCCTATAGAGAACGCGAGATATAAACCGACAAAATCACACAATATTGGGGAAAACAAGACTCTTAAGGAGTCGGATGAAAACAAGGCGGAGAGCAAGGCACCTGAAAATCCAAATAATGATCAGAATATGGATCAAAGTCGATCCAATCCTACATCCCCATCCCTTCCTAATCCTCTAGCTGATCCAACCACTTAATCCAATACAGACCGCTCATTGGATCCCATACCTTCAAAGGATCCAATCTGGTAATGGATTCTATTACTTCCAATAGCTTTAATCTGTGAATTGAGTCCAATCTCGGAAGAACTTTGATCCTAATACAAACGACCTGACCTGAAGTTATGAATATGATTTTGCATGAAGAGAAGCCATTTTAAAAATGATAATTTAGACAGCAAGATAGTTATTTTCATGAAACTGTTCCCTAAATATCACTGTTGATTTATTACAGGGTGAAAAATCAGATTTGTTACTTTCAGAGATAAATGAGTGTTTCTGCTCCCTTTCAGGGTATGGAGGTGAGTTCAACTAGCTTTCTTTGATCTTGATTATGACCTTGACGTTGGCCTTGACGTTGGCCTTGACGTTGATCGACCATGACATTAACTTTGATCATGACCTTTACTTTGACCATGACCTTGACGTTGACCATGACCTTTACTTTGACCATGACCTTTACTTTGACCATGACCTTTACTTTGACCATGACCTTTACATTGGCCATGATCTTTACTTTGACCAAGTCCTTTACTTTGATCATGACCTTGACTCTGACCATGATCTGTACTTTGACCATGACCTTTACTTTGACCATGACCTTGACGTTGACCATGACCTTTACTTTGACCATGACCTTTACTTTGGCCATGACCTTTACTTTGACCAAGTCCTTTACTTTGACCAAGTCCTTTACTTTGACCATGACCTTTACTTTAACCATGTTCTTGACTTTAACCATGATCTTGACTTTGACCATGATCTTGACTTTGACCATGACCTTGAAATTGACCATGACATTGACGTTGACCATGACCTTTACTTCAACCATGACCTTGACTTTGACCATTACCTTAACTTTGACCACGACCTTTACTTTGACAATGACCTTAACTTCGACCATGACTTTTACTTTGACCATGACCTTTACTTTTGCCATGACCTTTACTTTGACCAAGTCCTTTACTTTGACCAAGTCCTTTACTTTGACCATGACCTTGATTTTGACCATGACCTTGACTCTGACCATGATCTGTAATTTGACCATGACCTTTACTTTGACCATGACCTTGACGTTGACCATGAACTTTACTTTGCCCATGACCTTTACTTAAACCATGAGATTGACTTTGAACATGATCTTGAATTTGACCATGACATTGAGGTTGACCATGACCTTTACCTCGACCATGACCTTTACTTCGACCATGACCTTTACTTCGACCATGACCTGAACTTTAACAACGACCTTGACTTTGGCCATGACCTTTACTTTGATCATGATCTTGACCATGACATTGACGTTGACATTGACATTGACATTGACATTGACATTGACATTGACAATGACAATGACAATGACAATGACAATGACAATGACATTGACATTGACATTGACATTGACAATGTTGTAGGCCCTAACTGCTGCAATGAAAGTAAATATTGTTCCTGACCAAGAATACCTACTTCAGGGAACAGTGAAACTTATTTAAATGAAAATATATTTCTGTTTTGATTTCAGACATTTATAGAGTCACATCCGATTCATACCAATAACCCTTGAAACCTTTCTCAAAACAAAGATGAATGAGAAATCATTATTTTTCCAACCGAAATTTTTTTTCCTTTTCTGTTTTCTTTATAAAAGTAACTTGCGGATTTATGCTGTTGAAGTCATTAAGGAAATAAACTAAATGTAACACTTCTCAAGATAGGTATATTCGACCATATCTCCCTTATTGTTCCTCAGATAGATCAAGGGTTAAATGGTACCGTTGTGAATCGAACATGCCATGGTTGAAATGATGATTTAAAATTAGTCTACTATTCCTTTAATATAATTTTAATGTACTAACGATATGTGTAGTTGATGTAACAAATGCCTTACTCCAATAGTTCTTTTAGGTCTGTGTCAAGGAGTATGAAATGGAATGGAGATACATCTGACGCGGCCCGCCCTACCATAAGATTATACATGCTTTGCAGACGGTACTCCATTTGTATAAGAAATATTCAGAATAGGTTATTGTAAACGCGGTAATTGTACATCAAACCAATATTTCTTATACAAATGGAATACCGTCTGCAATACATGTATAATCATATGGTAGGGCGGGCTGCGTCAATTATATCTCCCTTCTATTTCATACTCCTTGGTCCGTGTCAATCTAGATACAGCAATCTCTGTATTATTTGGTATGTATCGTTCAGAAACAACTCGCTCTCGAACTCAATGTCCGACCAATAATACTTCAGTCTGTATCAATCCAGATACAACACTCTCTGTATTCTCAATATGTATCGTACAGATACAACTCACTCTCGGGACTCAATGTTCTACAATAAACCTTAGTCTGTATCAATCCAGATACAACACTCTATTTATTCTCAGTATGTATTGTACAGATAATAATATGGACCGATAGGTCTGTTCAGAAATTAATTAATGTTCAGGTTTATAAAATATTGAGTTTATTGGTATATTTATTACATGTACATTTTACTGATACAGGGAAGCGTACTGGATTCTCATGTTGATGTACTCAATCACAGGTTAGTTTCATTTTTATGATAACTAGGCTTTTAGGGCGCTTCGCGCTCATCTTCTATTGCAACTTTTAATTGTGGCTTTATCTCTGAGCATCTTCTCTTTTTACAATATAAAACAAAAACAAAAAAGTTCGCGGATTTCATAATATTTTTTCGCGCATTTTCGAACTTTTACAAAAATTTAAAAAAAACTTTTAAACACAAATTTTTTAAATTTTGATCATTCGTAAACCTTCCCTGGGGTCGCGTGAGGTCCCATACAAACTTTGGGCCCGATCGGTTCAGCCGTTTTGACGTTTATTGGATACAAACAATTAACAAACAAACAAACCAACAGACACCCAGACAGACAAGTTAAATTTACATATAGATTAGCATAATTTGAAAATAATGTTGTCTGAAAAGTTGTAATCCTAATACCCATTACACATCAATGTGATTTTTTGCAGAAAGAACTATTTATAAATATAGTTTTATCTGAATGGGTCTTCGTATCTATTTATCTATTTCTATTATTAACTACCTAGCTCAAGTGCCCGGCGTTGCCCGTGGAATTTTTTTAAATCAAATTTTCGTTTTAAATCCTCTTTTTATTTTACCTATGTTACTCCCAAGGCACTCATGGGTTCCCTCAGTTTCAGCCCATTCGGTCCAGCCGTTTGGCCGGCTATAAGGAACATATATACAAATGTCTTTTTATATTATATAGATATATCCATTAATCTGTTTTTTATCAATATTAATTTTTTTATGGTTTTTTTTCATTGTAACATTTTTTTCAACCTGGCACTAAATCTACAGTCTAGAGTCTACTAATCTATCGAATAACATGAATTATCTAAAAATTACCAACATACATTTTGTTCTAATTTGAGAGCAATCACAAGGGATATCCCACTCAATCGTAAGCGGTCAATATTGGGGTCTCTTGCAGATTCCATTTCCTTATGTTCTTTAATTGTCCAATTTGTTTTTATTTTGAAGGTTACGGGGTTTGTGTGATAATGTTGATATTGGACAAGAAACATTCCATGAGAAAGAAATGGTATTTTTTCATTTTAATTTTCTATACAGTGGGACCCATAAAATTGTGGAATAAAAAGACGATATTTAAGCGATCCGTGTATTTGATTTTGTTTAGAAGGAAATAGTTTTACAGGGGTCTGTGTACACTGCACAATTGGTTTAAAAGGGGTCTGTGTACACTGCACAATTGCATGGTTAGGTTTAATGTTCAGAGGAAATCATTAAAATTATCAATCGTCCTCGTGTTCCTAAGTTTTATGGATCTAACTGTAAGATTTAGTTTAGAAATGGTAAATCTTATTGAAGTTGATTTAACTGTTATTATTTTTATTTTTATTATAATTAGCATTGTTTATGTTAAAATTATTGTTATTAATATGTTTAACATTTGTTAATTTCATTATTTTTGGTGTAAATTGTTTTTTTTTGTAGTTTTTTTACCTCATTATACATTTGTTATTATTATTTATACACAATAAAAGATACTCGAATACTCGAATACTCGAATACTCGAATACTCGAATAAACTTATTTATATTTTATAATTCTAAACTTTTTTTAGGTTTTTTCCATTCGTGGCACAACTTCACAACCCCTCACCCTTAGGTCAGTAATAGACTTACTCGCTTATTCATTTACTCACTTACTTATTCATTTACTCACTCACTTATTCATTTGCTCACTTACTTATTCATTTACTCACTTACTTATTCATTTACTCACTTACTTATTCATTTACTCACTCACTTATTCATTTACTCACTTACTTATTCATTTACTCACTTTCTTATTCATTTGCTCACTTACTCACTTACTAACTCACTCACTCACTCACTCACTCACTTATAAACCTAATCATGAACCCACTCACTCAGACTCAATCACTCACAAACTCAATCACTCCCTCACTCACTAAACCACTTAATCCTTCACTCACACACACATTTATTCAATCAATCACGAACTTATTCACTACTTTTATACTCACTCACTCACTTACTCATTCAAGCACTTACTCACTCATTTACTCATTCATCAACTCACGTACTTCAACATTCACTCAATCATTCATTATTTATTTCAGAGTTCGGCATAGTCTAGAACCTAACTCTGGGATCCCGTGGCAGGTTAGATCTAAATCATTTTCAAATGAGCTCACATTGGATATTGAGATCAAGTGTTCGAAATAAACGAAAGTCTATACCATAACTCCGATTTGATTGTGTAACCAATTTTTTCTTTTTTCTCATTTCGCTCCTTAAAAGCAAAGGGTCATTCATTCATTGCACAAACAAAAGTTGGTTTTTTAGCACAGATTTGGATTCATGAAGACTTTGACAGAATTGATATGGAGAAAATTTTCAAAATTGAAATACCCTTTTCTTCAGAATGTATTAAAAAATTTATTAAACATGATAAAAACAGGTACGGGGGGGCTATGGGGATTGAAGGATGCAATTCTGATAAAAAATAAGAATTCTTGTAATGAAATTGGTTGATTGATTGGGTTGTTGGTTGAGTGATGATTGGTTGATTGATGGATTGATTAATGGATTTGTTGTTTGATTGATGATTTATTGGTTGTTTAATTGATTGATTGATTGATTGATTGATGCATATTTTGTTGAGATATTTGTTGGTTGGTTGGTTGGTTGGTTAGTTGATTTATTGATGCCTATTTAGTTGAGATATATCGGTCAGCCTGAGTTGGGGAACAGAGCAACTGTTGTCAGGTGATCAATTACAAACTTTAAAAATTTAAAATTTAAAACACTCCCATTAAATTAAAATTTTCGCTAAAAATATAAAATGCTGGCAAAGCATAAAAAAATAGTTTCGTGGAGGTTTTGCTTTAAAATTTAGAACTTAAGAGAACGCTTAAAAAAAATAAAACTTGATTGTATTCTTAGTCGAATTTTTTTAATTTTTTTGTGGACACTCAGGGGTGACCGGGTAGTGTTATAGGCCAAAAAAAAATTCGAAATTTATTTTTCCAATTTTTGTTCACGGGCAACGCCGGTCCCTTCAGCTAGTAAAAAATAAAACTTTATTGTAATCTTAGTAGAAGGGCAAAACTTCAAAATTCAGCAGAAAATTCTATTTCTTTCTCAATAATTTCAAACTTTCCTTTCTGCTGGGAAGTAGCTATGGCTAAAGAAGTTATGTGAGGAAGAATTTTTCCAGGGGATGGTTTTTTTTAATTCCTCTGGACAGAAAACGTCCACAATCGATTGACGATTTAGTAAACAATCTCATTCATTAAAAAAATTGAAGAGGGTTATCTGTTTTGTAAATCTATCTGATCTTAGTCAAATGTTAGTTAAGAAACAAATGAAATATTTTGTTGCCCCATTGGAACATGAATGGAAAAAGATAATACAAGAACTAATAAATACAAAATGAATTATTTATATGTTGAAGGATTCGATGATTACGTAATAACTGAAATGATAAATATGTTATGTAATAAGTAATGATTAATGTCGCCTATTTGTGCATAATTTTGCACATTTGTTTTTCTTTTGCAAAACTATATATATTTAAAATATTAAAACAAATTTAAACTACACCATTTATATATGTTTGTATATCTTTGTGTGTGAATAACTATTAACAAAAATATATATAGAATAGAATTTTTTTTTGTATAATTTTTCAAAACTATTTTTGTTGTAATATTTTTATTTTTAGAATTGTGAACCCATGTTTATTGTAGGAGTTGTTATGACATCGCGTGCAGCAATAATATTATTGATTTTCTAACAGAACTCGAATTTATTTATTCATTTATTTATTTATTCATGCACACATCCATCTATTTATTGATTTATCTATCTGTAGGTAGAGCTGAGTATGCTAGCTCCCTCTGGAAACGACGGTGTGGCTGATGACATGAAAACATTCGCTGATCAGCTTCAGCCCCTTGTTCTACTTGATAAACATGATATGAGACGGGCATAGATGGTCAGGAGATCAATGTTGACTTCTTTGTAATCAATCTTTTTAGAGACATGTTGTTTGTTGACTTATTCATGAACAACATTAAATGTTTGCCGTTCATTAGGTGTCGCCAAGCGGCCAAATTATTTCCTATTGTACCTGTCTTGCAATTATTACCCTGAATTGTTTCAGTTGTTTGTACAGTACAGTACACTAAAATTGTACAATATTGCACATCGTTGTGCGTTAACGGAACAATAGTGTACTGTACTGTATTAAATTGTGTTGCACAATTCTGTACTGAACTGTATAGTATTGTACTGCTTTTTTATATTTCATTGTACAGTATTGTACTGTACAGCCAAGCTTCTAAGCAACGGAAAGGAAAGAATAATGTTATTTAACTTTTCAGAAACAATGATCTTTATCTTGAGAGTAAACTTTAGGTGATTATTATGTTTTTTTTTGTTTTTTTTACGCGAGGCTTAATTACAAAAACGTTAATAAAAATTCCAAATCAAGGATTAGTTGACATTTTATTGTTAAAGGGACTGTAAGCGTAATTTAAAGTGACCTTCCCATTAAAGGGAGACATTTCCGATTCACAACGGTACCCATTAAACCTTTGTCCGGGGGACATCGATGTGGTAGATACCTAATTGTATAGCTGAAGATTGAGTGCCTGGGAGACTTGAGGTTACAGTGTACACTGTACTCTCCGTGCTAGTTTACACTCGCGCGGTTTCTTGGCACTTAATTTCCCGCTATATAATCAAGAATATCTACGAAATCTTTGATCAAACAAAGGTTTAAAGGGTTCCGTTGTAAATCGGTTATGCTACTCTTCAAATGAAAGGTCACTGGAATTTACGCTTACAATCCCTTTAAAATATTTTTGTTATAATATATCCCTTCTTTAAATTTCGAACTTAAGAACCATGCTCTATACTAGTCTCAGTCAACCCACTTAACATAGGATTTTTAAACCGTGGTTCCGTGGTTCTTCCGACTGTCCCATCAAAATTTGAGGCAAATTGGTCTAGGGTTTCCTTAGTTATAATTGGACTTCCTAACAATCAGAGATTACTACTCAATACCTAAAGATAATAATAATGGTATTCAAGTTCAATTAAAGTCTCGAGTAAAAATAGCTCGATAACGTTTTCATAGATAAATGGATTATTTGAATTTAGTGGGGTTTTTTTACCAATCATTATGTTGATTTATGTTATTTAAAGAATTTTTTATTCTACAGTGAAACCCTAAATAAGCCATACATCGAAAGAATTCACTTTCTGATAATGGAATGTTGCAGATATTTAGTTTTGTAATTAAATGATTATATGGAACTCTTTAAAAACTGTTCCCGCATATTTATGGCTATTTATTAATTTTCGCAAATACTGAAATTTACGTAATATAGTATAAAACTCGTTGAAAAATTGTCAAGACGACATTTGATAAATTCTTCCGATTTATTCGTTATTAAGGGTTTTTACTGTACTTTATATTTCAACAAGATATTTAAAAACTAAAATTCCGATGTAGATTTTCAAGGAAATTTGTCTCTAACTATATTTAATCCTTAAGTTTGTTAAAAAAGTTTTTTTCTGTTCTTTGGATGACATTTTTTAGGAGTGCAAAAGTTTCCAGCAATGATTCTAATTAAACGGCTGGAGGCTTGGACTTTCAGGTTACTTGAAATATATTTAAAATTCTTACAGTTTTTCTATTTTAAAGAATTGTATGAATAGTATATTTTTGCATTACATCAAAATACATCACATTTAAATTCACGTTCACGTTCACAATCACATTCACATTACGTATCCAGGTATATATCCAAGTACTGGAAGATCTATCTTTACAGTATGGAAGAAAAGACGAAGGAGAACTCTATACATAAACTTAAGGTAATTTAATTATCTAAAATATCATTAAAGAAATTGAATTTTTCCCTTTTTTGTCTAAAAAAGTTAAGAAGTTAAATCCTTTTTCTTATTTGTTTCCTCCTTTATTTTATCTGCTGCTTAAATCCGCAATTTATATTTTTTAAAGAAGAACCCACAATTAAAATTTCAACTTTCAGATATGAAAATAAGGATCTCCAAAATTATTGCTCATATAAAGCTTTGAAGGGCACCGTGTTAAAGGGAAACTTGCTAAATGTTCTTTCATTGGAATTTACGTTGAGAGTCTCCTTACTAGGTTTATCATCTGAGAATAAATAGTTGTTCATTGTTCATTTTTCGTTGTTCATTGTTCATTTTTCATTGTTCATTGTTCATTTTTTCATTGTTCATTGTTCTCTTCACTGTGAATTTTTCATTGTTCACTGTTCATTGTTCAGTCTTTACTCTTCATGATGGTTGATCATTTGTTCGTTTGTTTGTTTGTTTGTTTGTTCACTGTTCATTATTAATTGTTCACTGTGCATTGTTCACTGTGCATTGTTCACTGTGCATTGTTCACTGTTAATTGTTCATTGTTCATAGTTCACTGTTCATTGTTCATTGTTCATTGTTCATTGTTCAATGTTTGTTTTTCAGTTTTCATTGTTTTCTCCTTACTGTTCATTGTGATTTTTTTGTTCACTCTTTATTGTTAATATTTAATTGTTAAGGTGGTACATAAGTCTGATAACTATTTGGTTGTAGACAAGGACTTTGATGTTGTCCTCAATACTAAACAAGGAGAAGAGGACAGGTGATTTTAATATTATTTGTTTATTTCAAATAAAACATTTTTGAGGTTAAGACCCCTCCTTGACATTTTTTTTTAAAATTGTTTTTCTTCATCTTTAAATATTATGTATTTTTGTAAAGATAAAATCAGCCATATATAATTTTTGCAGTCCAATTTGAGGATGAAATATTTTTAGAAAAAATTACGCGTATTATTAGAATCTATAAAGTCTTGATAAAGTATCCAGTAAGTTCTAAGCTATTTTTTTTACTACTAGCTTGGGAACCCAGCGCTGCCAAGGTTACTAAAAGTTACTCCCGCCGTTTACCCGCACTTAAACGATTTCACCTGGAAACTAAATTTTCGCTATTAAATTCGACCCACACAACTTAGAATCTGAAAACCAAACTAAGAACATTTCCGTTGGTCTCTCGAGTTCCCCGATCAAAATTTGAGGCAAATCGGTCCAGGGGTTCCGGAGTTATGATCGGACAAACAAACCGACTAACAGAGATTACAACTTTATATATATATATAGATTTAAGATTATAACACTATTATTTAGGTTTGCATTGCAATAAAGTTTTTTGACAGAAATTTTTTCTTATCCAGAAGGTTCTCGCCTTTTTAGATTATATTTGGCCCCACCCGAGCTTTAGCGAGGGATGAAATATGATCTAAGTAGGCGAGCATCTTTGAGATACAGAGAACATTTTAGTCCAAAAAATGTTTAAAACGTCGGGCTAAAATAATTGTGTTATAGGTAATTTTATGAAACATCTCTGTGCTTATCTTCATGCAATGGATAATGGATAATTTCATTTTTTAAATTCAGTAAGGGTTTAACAAAGCAGAAACCATGATTTAAAAATAGTTTATTTGATTTTTATTTTCATTTGAATTGAAAAAATATTTAAGAAATATCCTAAAATTTTGGGAGAAAATCCAGGAACCAATCGAAAATTTGTAGCACAGTGCTGTAACATAAAGCTAATTTAACTTTATAGCACGATGATCAGTGATTACTCTATAGCACGTCAATAATAAAATTCACCATGAAGTGAGTATGAATGATTAAGTACACAATTTTTTCATAAAAAGAATATTGTAAACTTAAATTTTGATCGATGTTATAAGATATCATAGTTTTATTTGTTTTTATTTTACAATTTTCAACTTTTATATAAAGCTGAAAAAGACATTTGAAATATTTTTGCATTTTGAAAAATTGGCATCCATCTTTAAATATTGGCAGCATTCTAGAAATATTGGCAGCCATCTGGAAATATTGTCATGTTCTTTTGAAATTATTAGCATCCATCTTGAAATATTGTCATCCATCTTGAAATACTGGCAGCCATCTTGAAATATTGACATCCATCTTGAAATACTAGCATCCATCTTGAAGCACTGGCATCCATCTTAAAATATTGGTATCCATCTTGAAATACTGGCATCCATCTTGAAATATTGGCATCCATCTTGAAATATTGGCATCCATCTTGAAATACTAGCATCCCTCTAAAAATACTAGCATCCAACTTGAAATATTGGCATACATCTTGAAATATTGGCATCCATCTTGAAATGCTGGCATTTATCTTGAAATATTGGCATCCAACCTGAATTATTGGCATCCATCCGGAAATACTGGCATCCACCATGAAATACTGGCATCCATCTTGAAATATTGGCATACATCTTCAAATATTGGCATCCATCATAAAATATTGGCAACCATTTTGAAATACTGGCATCCATCATGATATACTGGCATCCATCTTGAGATATTGGCATCCATCTTAAAATATCGGCATCCATCTTGAAATATTGGCATCCATCTTGAAATATTGGCATCCATCATAAAATATCGGCATCCATTTTGAAATACTGGCATCCATCATGATATACTGGCATCCATCTTGAAATATTGGCATCCATCTTGAAATATTGGCATGCATCATAAAATATTGGCATCCATTTTGAAATACTGGCATCCATCATAATATACTGGTATCCATCTTAAAATATTGGCATCCATCTTGAAATATCGGCATCCATCTTGAACTATTGGGATCCATCCTAGAAATTGTATTTTACTTATTTAGGTTAAGTGTATTTGCTCAGATAGCTTTCAACTATCCACATCTAGTCAATTCAAAACTAGGAAAATCTAAATAAAAATTTATTATATTTCATTTTTTTAAACAGCTAGGAAATTTACCAAGTACTCGATAAAGTGAAAATTTCAGTCAAAAAACTTTATAACGCTGCGAACCAAAATAACAGTGTTATAAATAGTTATTATTTTATTTATTTATTTTAATCCTAAGGACATGGTTTCTACGTGATTCATCGACTGGATTATTCAACAGTGAGTAAAGATTTTATTCAATTATTATTCTAAGTACTGTTGCCCGTGCCCATTAGCTTTGTTTTTGTGGCTTTCTCTGCACTTTATATATGTTGCTAATATTGTCACTGGTGGTAAACTACCTATGTTACCACCCATGGGGCGGGGAGGATGCTAGGAGACAATCTTTCAGGTCAGGAACCTTGCTTTAGGGCTGGCAGGGCGTCTCTAAAAGTCTGATTTGATTTAAACATGTTAAATTTTTTAAACTTCGCGTTAAACGTATTATTTATTTTACCGCTGAAATGAACTACACTAGTTTCTCGTTTTCAAATTATTGGTGAAATATTGTTGTTATCTCACATTGTTTCAGTCTGGTGTATTGCTGGTTGGATTGAACAAAAAGGCAGCTTCAGAGGCCGCTAAACTTTTCGAGGTTATTATTAATAATATTGTTCTTATGGCCGGGGTCAAAATAAAACAATTTTAAGACATTTGCTGAAGCTAATCGAGAGAATTTTTAGAAGCGAGAAACCCAGAAGTTTTATATAGCGCTGGTCCGAGGCCATATCCAGGATCCAGGGCTAGACATTAATATACCCATAGGTAAATATTAACAATAAGAACAGAGAGTTTTGAGACATTTATTAATTGGTAGGCGTTGCCCGTGGAATTTTAAATAATCTGATTTTAAAAAAGATAAAAAAAACTCTATTTTTTTAGCTTATGTCACTCCTGGGATTCTCCTGGGTTCCCTCAAAAATTTTCAACCCATTCGGTTTAGCTGTTTGGGCAGCCAAATGAAACATATATACGAATGTTTTGTTTTATTATACAGAAGATTACCTTATTGCGTACTATAATTAAGAGCCTCAAAGGAACTGTAAGCGTAATTCTAACTGACCCTAAAGGCAATGTCCAATTTACAATAATACCATTATAACCTTTTTTTGAAACTATTGTGTACTTTATGATACTTACTCACTTCATCGTGAATTTCACAATACCCCTGCTATAAAGTAATCATCGTGCTATAAAGTTAAATTAGCTGTACATTATGACACGTGTGCTATAAAGTTTTAATTGGTTCCCGAATTTTCCAAAATATTTTTTTTTCAATTGAAATGAAAATAAAATTAAAATCACTTTTATATTTTGACTCCCTGTTTTTTTAAAGCTTATTTGATTTAAAAGAGCCATTGAATTAAGACAAGTACACAAACGTTTCATAAAATTACCTATAGCATTATTATGTTGGCACAACGTGCTGTAAAGTTTGTGTACTTAAATTTTCTCAATATCTCGATATTTCTCTTCTTTTTAAATTATTTTTTTGTCCCTCGCCAAAAGTTAATCTAATAAGGCTTGAACCTTCTCGATAAAGAAAAAATTTCTGTCCAAAAACTTTATAACACAGCCAACCAAAATAACAGTGTTATAAATAGTTAGTCTGATCAAGTATTAATTAACTCGTGTTTTTGTTTGTTGTAACTATTTTCTCTCATAATGGTTTATCTGAAAAAGTGACTTGCGCACAACTTGCAGTTGCTTATAAAGGGTGAACCTAAAAAAAACACACAAAACGGATTTTTTGGATTATTACAAAGAAAATTCATATAATAATGGATGAAAATCCGCAAAACTATTATTTTGGGACCAGTTGATAGTGGATCTACCAAGAAAAAATGGATAAAAGCTTAAATCCATCTTGAAATCACAGATAGAGACCTATCTCCAGAAAAAGCCACATGCCAGTGATGGTAAAATAATTAAGTGTCTGTATATTCGGTGCAGTCCCCGGTCCTGACACTCTCAATGCAATCAAAAAAGAAAGCCTGAGAAGCTTTGTCGTCTACCAGAAGAAGAAGTTTGCAATGCATTGGTTCTGTGCTGATCATTTAAAGGGGAACGGAGGACCCTCTGTTCCAGGAAGAAAGATTGCCCAGGTGAAGAGACTGATGAACAATAAGGAACGCAGGAGCACCCGGTTTGTTTCTAAAAGAGTTAGAGTCTCTCAAACATCAGTTGTAAGAATTATGAAAAAATACGGATATAAGGCATACCACAAGTATAAGGTACAGAAAATGTCAGATGAGCATAAGGAGAGGCGTGTGGAGTGTGCAAGGATATTCCTTAGTGTTTATGGGAGAAGAGTGAGGAATGACAGAAAGTGGGGAAAGATCATTAATACTGATTTCAGTGCCAAAATCACTACTTTTGGCCAATAGAAAAGGTTTTGAGTATTCTTAAGGGAAAGGTTGCTGAAAAAGAATGCTCTAATGACCAACAGCTGAAGAAAGCCATCATTGCAGCATGGAGAGAGATTGGCGATGATATGGCTCTATGTAGACATTTGATGGCATCTCTGCCCCACCGACCACAAAGAAGGCCGTCAAATCCAGAAGGAAGACTACTTAAAATTTCCAAATACTCAAATATATATGTAACCACTAAAATATATCAAATAAAACTGTTAAAATCATAATGCATTAAACAATTAGAGAAGAATTTGTATTATGTGTGGTTTTTTAGGTTCACCCTTTAAGAAACTATTGAGACATTAACGGGGGGAAAACCACTGAGTCAGAAAACGACGGCATCCCCACATTTTTGATCAGTTTCAGGTTTCAAGGCTACCGTTGTAATTTGGGCACTGCTAGTGCACGGACAGCAGTACCCAATTAAAATTATGCGTACAGTCTCTTTAATATCAATCGGAGAGTTTTAAAGATTTCAATTTTAGAATTATTTCCAAATTAGGAAAATTATGGTATTCAAAGATATTCGCCACCAGGTTCAACAACTTGAGAAAATTGCAAAAACATCGTTTTATTTAGAAAAATCTAAAAATTTTAAAAAAAGTTCAAAACAATTAGTAGATAAAAGCTAATTATTATTTATGGGACAATGTTCCGAACCCCACTTGTGTTCCAAACCTGACACCTAGGTCAAATATCAGTTTTGAACTTAAATCCCCTGTATTTGCAGGAGTGTCAGGTCTGAGCCAAATAACAGTTTTGAACTTCATTCCCCTGTATTTGCAGGAGAAGATGGAAGACCTGAGTCTGCCAATGTTAAGATGTGTTCAGCTAAACATAGTTACTGTGTTAAACCCAGGCCATCTAGGTGAGTAATCAGCTTTTGAATCCGGACTCTAAACCCAGGCCATCGAGGTTTGCAATCAGCTTTTGAATCCGGACTCTAATCCCAGGCCATCTAGGTTTGTAATCAGTTTTTAAATCCGGACTCTAAACCCAGGCCATCTAGGTTTGTAATTAGCTTTTGAATCCGGACTCTAATCCCAGGCCATCTAGGTTTGTAATCAGCTTTTGAATCCGGACTCTAAACCCAGGCCATCTAGGTTTGTAATCAGCTTTTAGATCCTGACTAAACCCAGGTCATCAAGGTTTGGTTAGCTTAAGTTATATAAATTGACCCAGAATAACCATATTTGATCACATCAAAAAGATTTTACGCATGAAGGTAGGAAAGCTTTGTTTGATTAAAGAATGATCTAGTTATCCATATTTTTATTTTTTGAAAACTGTTAATTTTCATTTCTGGTTTCTTTGCAAAAGTGACTTGAGCATTTCTTGCTTTTAGAACATTGAAGAAATTATTAGAATTAATTATTATTCAAGCCAGATGGATCAGATTTAAGTTTCAAGGGTTCCGTTGTGAATCAGGCATGCTCCTCTTAAAATGAAGGATCACTTAAAACTCCATCGACAGTCCCTTTATTCGTTTTTGGTTTGTGAAGATTTTGCTTTGTACAGATAAACTCTAACTACGGCTTTTGAATCCCGACTCTACCAATTCTGCTTACTTTAATCAAGTTTAAATTCAGCTTCTAAATCTAGGACTCGGTGTTTGGTTCTTGAACGAGGACTTCACAACGGCCAGCCTGCTTCGAAGGTATATGAAGAATGCTTGTTCGAAAGGTTTACAAGCAAACTTTTCTCTTTGATAATAAATATCCCCCTGCCCCCCCTTTCATTTCCATTTAGTTTCCTTTATTTACTAACATAATCAAAGTATAAACAATAAACATTTTTAATTCCCGACTACTGGCACTCACCGATTAAATATAATTTATTGTATTTATATTATATTAGTCTGATTCACAACGGCATTCTTAAACAGAAACAATGGAGTTAGTTCTTAGAATTATGCACTTTCCAAGCTAGATAAACGACGGTATTTTTTACATTTGTGAATCAGGCTCCGGCCTCTTAAAATGAAGGGTCACTTGAAATAAAAACTACCCAGTCTCTTAAATACTTGAAGTTCTGATTGTTCATATTTACCCCTCAATATTTTAGGTTCTATTAGCCCCACTTACAGGCAGAAGACACCAGGTTTGTAATTATATTTTTTTATATCATTTTCAATCTATCTATCTATATACATCTATCTATCTATACATCTATATATCTATTTATACATCTATCCATCTATGTATCTATATATCTATCTATCTATCTATTTATCTATATAATACCTAGCTACGTGTTCACATGTATGAGATTGGCAACACTATAGTAGGAGATTACACCTACAGTAATAGAAGAGACCTATCTCCATATAGGATGTTTCTTCATGCAATAAGGTAAAGTCATAAACGCCGAAAAGGAGTGTAAAACATTTTTTAACTTAAAGGAACTGTACATAATTTTTACCGAGTCTTAAAAGTATTTTTTTCATAATATAGAAATGATCAAACCATTTCTAAATTTTTCATATAATGTGTTCCTGTCAATACAAATATTTAAAGTTGTAATCTTGGAAACGACTAGGTTTAAATGTGAATCGCTGGAATACGCAGATCTGCAGAATGATCAGGTACATAATGTCCTTGATTGGGTACATAATGTCCCTGATCGGGAACATAATGTCCCTGATTGGGTACATAATGTCCCTGATTGGGTACATAATGTCCCTGACCGGGTACATAATGTCCCTGATCGGGTATATAATGTCCCTGATTGGGTACATAATGTCCCTGATCGGGTACATAATGTCCCTGATCGGGTACATAATGTCCCTGATTGGGTACATAATGTACCTGATCGGGTACATAATGTCCCTGATTGGATACATAATGTCCCTGATTGGGTACATAATGTCCCTGATCGGGTATATAATGTCCCTGATTGGGTACATCCCCTGATCGGGTGCATCATGTCCCTGATCGGGTATATAATGTCCCTGATTGGGTACATAATGTCCCTGATCGGGTACATAATGTCCCTGATCGGGTACATAATGTCCCTGATCGGGTACATAATGTCCCTGATCGGGTATATAATGTCCCTGATTGGGTACATTATGTCCATGATCGGGTTCATCATGTCCCTGATCGGGTACATTATGTCCATGATCGGGTTAATCATGTCCCTGATCTGGTACATAATGTCCCTGATCGGGTACATAATTTCCCTGATGCACGAGGGTTGAGAGTTTCTCTGGATGAAATTCTGTAGCAGTATTTTCTTTTGTGAAATATCTTTGACAGTCATAATGTTATTAATATATATAAAGTTATAATCTCTGTTTGTTTGGGGAACTCGGGAGAGCCACAGGAGTGTTCTTAGCTTGGTTTTGAGATTCTTAGTTGAATGGGCGGACTTTTAAATCGAAAATTTAATTTCCCAGTAAAAATCGTTCGGGACGACGGCGGGACTTCCTATGACCCTGGGGAACACTGGGTTCCCAAGCTTTAATAATTATAAATACGGAAAATTGTAAACCAACATTACATTGAGAATTAGTAAAGTCATTTGAAGACTTTAGGGCTGGCAGGGCGTCTCTAAAAGTCTGATTTGATTTTGACTTAGTATTTCTAAAATTCTATTATCTATTATTTAAGGGCAGGGTTGTATATTTTTCAGAATAAACCCCCGCCCTCCTCGGGGGGAGATGATTATTGATGATTTCGGGGTGAAAAAATGAAAAATCGAAAAAAAACTTTTTTCATTCTTTTTGATATGATTTTACTCAACAATTCATTGAATATCGAGTAAACCCCCCAAAAATGTTTGTCGCTTTGTGCCAGCATGTTTAACTATTTGGGAAAAGTAATTATTTTCAAACGGGATGGGGGGGGGAAGAAAAATGATTTTTCGAAAAATATAGTATACTATACAGCCCTGTTCAAAGCTGTTGGAGAGAAAAATTTATCCATATCTTTTTAGATTAAGAGTTGAGTCTAAACTAGAAACCATTGATGTCAATACAGAGGTGAGAATTTTTTATTTATTGATCAATTAATATTTGATTTATTGATCAATTAATAGTTGATTGATTGATTTATATTTGATTGATTGATTGATTAATACTTATAGATTGATTGATTGAAATTGCCAAATTGGTTATGATAATACTTTACACATTTTTGGTTTCTAATTTTAACCTAAATAAAAAATTTAAAAAAAATACTTTTTCTTGTGCAGTTAGCTGAATTAAGTTTATCTATGAACCTTGGACTGGGTAAACCAGCTATGCTCTACGTTTAATGATTGTAGCCATTTGCAGCTAACTAAACAGATCCTGTGGGGGGGGTGAAGTAGTAGTCAGAATTAATCAAAAAGGACTTTATAAAAATATAAAAAATTAAATTAAAAAGTTACATTTATCTTCTCCTTTTGCTATTTTTCATTCAAGATTTTTCAGGACCCTTTCACCGAGCAGCCTCCAACTAACCAATGGACAAGTACAAGTGTTCTTCACAGACTTCCTGCAGCCTTTGACCTCATGTATTCAGAGGACATTGATTGGACTAGAATCAGTGTGTAGAACTCAGATCATCTAAATTAAACGTACAATGGCAATGACCCTCTAAACCATGCTGATCTACGTATTTACAAAAAGTATGCAAAGTATGCAAGAAAAACTTCTCACAAAAATGTTAAGACGATCTCATTCGTTGATCAAGATCAAAATTGGACTGAAAATGAGAAAACATCTCAGTTGAGTACAGTACAGTACAGTACAGTACAGTACAATACAGTACTGCAAAATTAAAAACTATGTGCTGTGTCTGGCTAAAACATCTATAAACTTAAAACATAAAATATGAAACTTTAAATATTGATATTTTTTCAGAAAGATGTCTCACTAAAAATGTCTGAAGAGGAGGAAAATCTGTGGAGTTCTCTTCTGCAAGGTTTTAGTTTGAAAATTATTTATCATATTTCATGTTAATGGAAATTTTGTAATTATAAAACCACAAGTTTTGGAATAATTAAATTTTTAAGAAATCCTTTAAATCAAATGCCTTTTTTTATTCCAAACTTGAAAAAAATGGTTTTTGATGGCTGGCATTTGATGGTCTTGAATTTTTTTCAATATACCAAGTTAATAGAATCAAAAATTGACTTAAGAGAATTATGAGCAAGTTTTATTTTTATAAATCTATCATACTTCATATAAGTAGAAATTTTGCAATTATAAAAATCAGTTTTGGAATTAGATAATCTAATATCCATTTAAAAGAAATTCTACAAATCAAATGCAAATAGTCCAAAAAAAATACCAAAAGTAAATTGGATAACAATTAGGAGAGAATTCTTTGATACAAGTTTTTTTCAGCATTCTTAATAAATATTTGTTCATATTTCATATTGGAATTAGAAAATAAATTTTAAAAAATCCTTCAAATCAAATGCATTTTTTAGTTCAAACATAAAAAGACGGATTTTCAATGGTTAGCGTTTAGAAGTTTTAAGGTTTTTTATTGTAAAATCTTTCATTAAAAAATAGAATGAAAATTAACCTCACTTTTACAAAACAATGTCTTACTAACTAATTTCACTTTTTTGAAAAATCCGACATTACAAGTTGGTATTTAGTTCGGTGTAAATATCTTCTTCCAGTACAGTACAGTACAGTACAGTACAGTACAGTACAGTACAGTACAGGGTGAAAATTTTATATATTGTAAGAAAAAAAATGTTTAGAGAAAACAAGCAGCTTTAAATTTTATAAAACTCCTTAAAATTTTGTTGAATCTTTTGAACGTCCAAGAAACAAATTCATAATATTATGAAAGTATCTTGTTATAATTGTACGTTATTTTAATAATAATGTTTAGTTCATTTTTTTTCAATATTTTTACTTGAGTTATTCTAAAATATTGAACACCTGGGGGCCCGTAGCTGAATAGTTGCAGGTGTCAAGAACCCCCTTTTAACATAAATATAAAACATAAACAAACATATTAATTACAATTAAATTATTTAAAAAAAAATTTTTTATGTAGAGGTTCAATGTAACAGTAAGAAGGGTTTACCCTCCTCTAAGAATATTCTGGTGCTAGGAGACAATCTTTCAGGTCAGGAACCTTGCCCTTTAAATGACAGAAGTTTCGTAAACATTCCCTTTAAGTTTCAGAAGTCTCGTTAACATTCCCTTTAAGATTTAGAAGTCTTGTAAACAGTCCCTTTAAGTTTCAGAAGTCTCGGAAACATTCCCTGTAAGTTTCAGAAGTCTCGTAAACATTCCCTTTAAGTTTCAGAAGTGTTGTAAACAATCTACATGTGGGTGTGTTTACGAATCTTCTTATTCAGATATATTAGATGCGAGAAAAATCTTAAAATATTTATTTTCAGGAAAAACAACACTGGTGGCAAAGGTATGATTATCATTTGAATATTTTTTTCATGTTTTCTATATTTTTTTCATGTTTTCTTCATTTTTTCATGTTTTCTTCGTTTTTTTCATGGTTTCTTTATTTTTTCATGTTTTCTTAACTTTTTTCATGTTTTCTTCAGTTTTTTCATGTTTTCTTTATTTTTTTCATGGTTTCTTCATTTTTTCATGTTTTCTTTATTTTTTTCATGTTTTCTTCATTTTTTTTAATGTGTTCCTCACTTTTTAATGTTTTCTTCATTTTTTTCATGTTTTCTTCATTTTTTCATGTTTTCTTCATTTTTCTCATTTTTCTCATGTTTCTTCATTTTTTTCATGGTTTCTTCATTTTTTCATGTTTTCTTCATTTTTTTCATGTTTCTTCATTTTTTTCATGGTTTCTTCAATTTTTCATGTTTTCTTCATTTTTTTCATGTTTCTTCATTTTTTTCATGTTTTCTTCATTTTTTTCATGTTTCTTCATTTTTTCATGGTTTCTTCATTTTTCTCATGTTTCTTCATTTTTTTATGGTTTCTTCATTTTTTCATTTTTTCTTCATTTTTTTCATGTGAAATATTTGGATTTTAGAATCTAATTTTGTAATGGTAACTAGAAATCTGTATTACTTCAGTTTGCATAAGTACATTTTTTCCCCCCCTCCTGGGGCCCCCAAAGAAACGGGAAGAGGATGGAATTTCGTGTTTGTTCGACCTTTTATTAAAGATTCAAAGGCAGTTAACCAAGGATTTTTTACATTGATATTATTCTAAAAATGCTTTTAGTCAGGATTATCATGATGTAAATTCTTGGATTAAGCCAAGGATCTGCGGATTTAATTAAAAGGGAGAAAATGTTTATCTGACTCTTTACTGAGGTGGATCACACAGCATCAATGGAATAAGCCTGCGCTCAGCCACATTAGTGAAGTCATTTTTACAATTCTCTCTGATTTAACGATTTCTAACTTCCTCCTTCATAAAGTTTAAACTCGGATAAGCAATAAATCTGCTGGTGTTAATATATTTAAGAATCCCCCCCCCCCGGGAAAAATTTATTTTTGAAGATCTGGGGGAAAAAGAAAGAATGGATATTTTTTTAACATTTTTAGCCCTAAATAAAACTTGGCGATCCTTGCACACATACAAAGTTTCTGGGGGAAAATAATGATTTTCAAAAGAGGGGGTAGGTAGCTTCCCCAACATTCATTATTTGATTTGATGATCTGACGGGAAAATTGATTTTTAAGAATAGATATATTGTGTATACATCTGTTTGTTTAGTTACAAGGTATAGAAGAGCCTAAGAAAGGAACTGGATTGGAATATGGTTATATGGAAATTAGGTGAGTTCGATGTGAGCTGGGAACTTTAGAATGGTGGATATCGAGATCAATACTTAATCCTCTCTTTTTCTTAATCTTGAGTCTAGCCTAATCTTGTGTTTGTATCCTGAAAAGTGTATAAAATTCAACCAATCAGAGTGGCTTATCAGAGGGAGGGAAATTTGAAATTTTGCGCAACATTTTAGATGACTCTACACTATACAGAGACTGGAAAGAAAGAAATATCCACTTTGGATATTCAGATTAAGCAGTGGGGATTAATGGTATCCAATTCTAAAGTTCCCAGCTCTGGTAATATTTTTGTGCAGTGCTAATTCTTTTATTTTGATTTCGATCAAGATGTTGCATCAGTCTCGATCAGAAATTGTTATTCATATTTTTTTAACTTTGAGAAAAGAAGAATTTTTGGTAAATTATGAGGCTAGCATTAATGCATAACGATTTGATTTTTCCTTTTTTTTCAGAGATGATAGTTTTGAACAATTGACACATCTTGGAGTACATACCCTTGATGGAGATCCCAAGCACATAAATCTACTCAAATATGCACTAAGGTATATTTCAACCAATAGGAGACAAGATTGATCAGTTTCGGCCAATTTTAGATTAGATCAACTTTTTTCAACCAATGAGATTAGCTCAACAAGTTTCCACCAATAGGAGATTAGATCAACCAGTTGTTTCCAATAGGAGATTAGATTAACTAGTTTCAACCAATAGGAGATTAGATCAACCAGTTTAAGCCAATAGGAGATTAGATTAACTAGTTTCAACCAATAGGAGATTAGATCAACCAGTTTAAGCCAATAGGAGATTAGANAACTCCACGTTCTACAATAATTTCTAGGTCTGTATCAAGCCAGATACAACACTCTCTGTATTGTCAGTATGTATCGTACAGATACAACGAAAACATATAATATCTCAATCATACTAGCATTTTGACATGGTGTATACGCCCCTGCTGATGGATTTTTCTTTAGTGAATTGAATTTTTTCAGATGGAGACAATACTCAGAGTTCGTCGACTTTTTCGACTTCTCCCCCTCTTCAGATCTGACAGAGTCTATGTATAGAAAAGATATTGGCGACAGGTTCATTTATTAATTTATAAATTTATTCGTTCATTTCTTTATTTTTCCTTAATTTCTTTTTTCCACTCAACTGCAACTATTTTTCCGGTTGCTTTTTAATCATTCAGTTATTCATTCTATTTATTCTTTATATTCTTTTGTTATTTTATTTTTATTTATTTTTAATTATTTTTGTTTATTTTTATTTATTTTTA